CTGCAGCAGTCCCTCATCCCATCTTGTGTTGGTGCATCACCCCCTTGAACAAAGAATGGGACACAAGCATTTGCTTTTTTTTTAAGAAAGGGGAAAATGATCTTGCACTGAAAGAAATGTTGGCCATACTAGTGCTAGTAGGAATAATTGGCTACAGGAGCACTGAGCTGTGATGGCATGGTGGAGGGGTGTCCTGTGCTTGCTGGGCTGCAGGTAGCTTTCTTTTTCCACTGGTATGGCAGTTATTGATCCCAGAAAAATTTGTTTTTCCCCTTACAGCAGTGAACTGGTTCTGAGATGCTGAATTCTTCCTCCTGCCTCAGGTTTCCTGTGTGAGTACAATGGTTAATGACAGTTCAGTTTTCCAGCTGTAATGGTTTTTTCCTTCTGACAAATGTTGCAGGAATAGATTCTGTGGTACACACTAAGTATGACACCACTGTGATGAATGGGAGTGTGTGTGTGGGGGGGGGGCACAGGTTTTGTACATCTCAACAGGTAGTAAATTCGTTTTTGTAACTATACCTCACGTATTTTATTTTAAAATTACATTCTTGGTTCCTGCAATCTCAGGGCATTGGTACAATTTTTATGTTTAGGAATTTGTGGAGCTATGAATCACTTCCCCTGCTCTGACCTTCTTTTGGAGGCTTCTGTTTCTGACCTCATGAATGACGCCTTGGGTGAGACATGACAAACTGATAGATTGTGATGATGTCTTCACAGTTGCCTACTGCTGTTGATGTGACACGTGGATGCATGTGTTTCTGTCCCAATGTTTATCAAAAACTTAGTCTGCGACTCAGGGGAAGATACTTGTTTTTGATATTTATTTCAAAATAGTTTTGCAGAGTGAAGAGGAAACACATACATTAATTAGGGCTTAGAGAAGAATGGTTAAAGCGGGGCTCTGTTGGTGTGATGCCTTTGCTGTTTTGGAGACTATTTTTTTCATTAGCTACAGCCACGAGCATGCTCATAGGAAGCTGGTTTACTTTTCATGTCATAGGCTTTGTGCAGAGTTGAGAAATTAAACTTCTTGGGGGCATTAACCTCCGGTAAGCTGCACTGACCCAGCGAGTGTTCACATAAAGGCAGCTTTAAGTTCTCATCACTTCATAGAATCCTATGTGAGCAAGAAAGAAAGAGAAAAAGATACTCTAAAAAATCTGATTTGTTTAGGGAAATGACCCTAACGTATTTTTTTTGTGATGACAAGAGGGAGACACAGGGGTCACGCTGCAGCTGTGTCACTCAGGGCTGCAATCATTCACCTGGTTTGCTCAGCAGAACTATTTATCTCCAGGTATTTCACTGTTGGTCAATAGAAACATCTTACTAGATGATTCTTTGAAATCAGATAAACATGTTTTCTTCCACTTTTCACTTTTTGTTTGTTTGTAGCTGGTATCTCATAACTGCAGATACCATGCAAACAACTCATCTTTAGAAACAGCTGGCTTGTATCTCCAGGGGAGCTACTGCATCAGAAACACTTGTCAGTCTTTAACTCTGTTGCTTCCCTCGAATTTGTTTTAAAGAAAGGGAAGTGTCACACAGAGTTCACCTTGATGTAGCCTATTGTAGAGAGTACAGATATTGTATCTGTAAAATTACCTGGCTCTAGAGAGGTGTGTCTGTGACTGTGACAGGGACACAATGCCTCTGTTTAGGTCAATGACTCGTGATGCCAGCAAGACAGCATTTCCCAAGGGGTTATGGTTTATAGCTCAGCAATGGCCTAAAACTGGAATCCCTGTGGCTAAGGGGATTTTAGTTTTAGAACCAGACACACTGTAAGGTGCCTAAGGGCTTGCAGGGTCAAGTCTCAGTTTGCCATAGCTCTGCCTCATAGAAAAGAACTTGTCTCTTGACTGATGTTTATGAAAGAATGAAAGTAGCYTGATTACAAAAGCTTCTGGTTTCTGTTTCCTATGTTTTTAGTACCCACTGACTTAGAAGCTTCTTGGCATTATTACTCAAGCACTTGCAAATTGCAACCTCAAGTCACTTTCAATAACTTAATTTTAGATTTTTAAGTTATCTGTATTCAGATTTATTTTTCATGTGGCAGTGTATTGAGGACTCCTTCCAATGTGTTTTTGAAACAATAAAAGTAAATCCCCTGAATGCCTGCTAAGCTTAATAGAAAATTGGAAGAGGTCAGAAATAATATTTAAGTRAATAAAATACACTAAATGTAAAAAGCCAGCAGTCAAACTTTGGATGCTGCAAGTTAAATTGTCATGCCTGATGTTATTGCAGTACATTCTGCACAGCTTGCTGATGATTAGGTCATTAAGTTTAAAGTATTAATGAAACTTTAAAACTGAGAAAGCCATCATGAATGAAATATGGACTACCTTCTCTCACACTAAAACTTTGTTTCAGGCAGTGCATACCGAGTATCAGAGTAAATTAACCTCTGTGCTAATTAAAGATGGCAGAATGTGATTCTATAAAAATAAACGCTGTGCTCCAAGAAAAAATCCTACATTATGCTAAACCAGATGAAGGTGGGATGCAGCATTTCTACAGATCATGTCCCATACACGTCAGTGCTAAGGAACTCTAAACTCATTCTCCCACATGGTGTTCATAATTGTTTTCTGAAATCTAAGSCTGACATGGATAAACATGGTAAACCTTGATGTTTTCCACAGATGACTCCCTGAGCTGGCTCACAACAGYCTGAGGAGCTCATCCCGTCTCCATGGGCTAAAACCCTTCAGCAGCAGTGCCTCAAAAACATGAGTGTATTACCTTGMCATGGGCTACAAATCTCACAGCACTCAGCGACTGAACAGGAGGAAACGCAAGTTTAGAAAACAATTTTATTAGACAAATTATTTAGACAAATTATACACAGAAAGCTCTGCCACTTGTAACTGAGGCCTCCAAAAAGTGTTTTGTGTATCTGTATAATAGGCAACACATCAAAATAGGCCTATTTTAAATATTGTACATGGTTAACAGGTTTTTTAATAGCTAAAATCACTGCAACATCTGGTATGTCCCTACGTAGCTTGTTGGAAAGAAATTTTTTTTTCTTTTTTCTTTTTTTTTCTTCTTTCTTTTACTCAGAAGTGTGGATGAGTTCATGAATGTTACAAGGGGGAAGCAAGTTGTGCATGCTTTTAGACACTTGCTACCCTGGAAACAAAATGGCCTTTTGCACGATAAGAATTCGTTCTGCCTTACACAGTAGACAATATTTGAAGATTTAGTACAAAAAACAGTGACAGTACAAGATGCTCCCCCAGAACAGAATTAGCATCAAAATAGAATAGATCTGAAGAATATACCTTTTAATTTATCCTACAGCAAATCACATAGGCTGATTCCTATTAATCTTAGCCAAAGAATGAGTTAGATTAAAATAAGTGTATGGTTGCATTAAAAAGAAAACCAAATCAAAAAACTCACAGGATAAACTGCTTGCTTTCTACTTAACCGCATTTTTAGTTTAAGGATTACAAATTGAAAGCTCTTCCTACAGTTCTAACAGGTAACAATGTTACTTAAAAAAGCTGGTGCCAAAGTGGGCACTSGTTTTGCTCTCACTGCTGTTCTTTCTCTTGCTCTATACAGTTGGCACTAATGTAAAAAATACATAGCTCCTCTAAATCTAACTTAACACAGAAAGGGTTAAAGTAAGTGCCTGTTCATATTTTTTTTCCTTAGAACAATATGTGATTATAATTAAGGCCACATCTGTATAGCTTGAGGGCTTTTTTTGTTTTTTTTCTCCACTAACGCCATTATTGTATTGATCAACTGCACTGACTTGGAAAAGGATTTATTAACCTTTGATCCATGTTTAACTGCTCTAGAGCTGTATTAGCTGTTCATGAACGTGGTATACCTAAGAGACAGTTCCATTTGTCTAATTAATTAAAAGGAAAATTATCAAGATTAGCCTTATAGAATGCTCAATAGCCAATGCAAAAACCTAACCAAAGGAGTTACATCTAGGTACAAATGTTAAATTGCCCCGGATGCTCTAATAGAAAAGTATAAAATATGCTCTGTTGGCAAATGATGCGAGTCAGAATAACATTAAAGCAACCTGTCTTTTCTAAATGAAAAGACACCCTGCACTGTACATCTCTCTGTATATAACACATTTTTACTAAAGCTTTATTAAATGAATTGCAATAGCAACGGCTGCCATTTTATAGCTATATATACATGTATATATATATACACATACCTGTGTGCATATATGTATATATATATATATGAGATACTAATTTATTTAACACAACAGAGGCTTCTGCCATATGATACAGTTTACTGTACATAAGAAAAACTTTTAATACTGTACAATCACATTAAGGTCATATGCACTGTTGCAGTGCAAAAGTAGATTTAACTGTAGTCTTTACTGGCATAGTAATGGCTTTTTGTAATCCTACAAAATTGCATTCTTATATTATGGGGCCTGAATGATCTTTGAACTTCATCGGTTTTCCTTTTTTTTTCCTGTTTTTTTGTGTCTTTTTGCTTTTTTTTTTTTAAATTTTCCATTTTTTAAACTGCAGGGTTTGCCTTTGGTCCACAGTTAAAAGGACGCAGAGCAGTGGAGCGCTGACCGGATGCAGCAGAGTACATGAAAAATACTTAAGTTATTGCAATTATAGTAAAAAAAGGCGGTGGCGGAGGAGGAGCGAATGCCCTTCTGTAAAGTAATCCTCAGGGTTTTCCTATGCATGAATTGCTGCTCGTTTCCTATATTTAAAGTATATGAAAAGCCTGAAGTAACCAAAACCTAACGCGGTGATAAACTGAAGAATAAGTGATTCAAGTAGTACAGAGAATAAGGGGAGGCAGAAGAGACCAGACTGAGAAAGCAGAGAAGAGGAGGAGGAGGAGTTGCTACTAATCATTTTGATTCTTAAATAAAATAAAGAAAAAAACCCTAAAACAACCCCTGAACAGAAAATAACCCCCAAACAAATCTTAAAAAAAAACAAAAAAACCAAAAAACCAAACCCAACCCAAACCACAACCCTCAAAACCAAAAAATAAGGAAAAGAAGAAAGGTTACATCCATGTTAGTCCCACAATATTACAGCTGCTCCTTGCAAAGGGAGTCCTAAATACGAAACAGTGAAGAAACTTGTTCTGATGCTCAGATGGAGGTGCCTCGGTCTGGGTCACTACCGATATTCAGGCCCAGGGTAGGAGTTGGTTGGTAAGGGATAGATGACATTGTTTTGATGGGGCTTCTGAAAAAGCCCCCRTTGGGTGCCCTGTGCCTGAAAGGGCCAGTTCGGTGCTCGGGCACGCTGCCGAAGGAGAATCCCGAGGCGGCTTTAGCGGACAGCGTGCGGCTCAGAGTCTGGATCTGCTCTGGTATGAAGGTGGTTGTGGTGATGTGAGTGTTCCTGAAGTCACTGATTTGCTCCAGTGCCTGCCGTGTGGGTAAAGTGTCAATGTCCAGCGGGGTCAAGTCAATCGATGAGGTGGAGAACTGTTTATGGGGACTGTCGTCGTCTGTGCAGAGGCTGTTCACGCGCCTGTGGAGGTGCTCCAGGTCGATCTCCTTGTCGTCCTGGGGAATGAGAAAAACAAGAGGCACCGCTCACCATTGCCATTTGCGCTGGGCTGAAGTTTCACATGGTGATCGGCACTGCTCGGGAAGCACAAGGCACGATTAACTAGAGCTGGCTCTTGGCTGACGGTGTCCTGAATGTCACCAGCAAACACCCCCACCGCCTGAGGCCGGGTGGGCGAAGCCAAACTGAGGCAGACCCTTACACCATAGCTACCTTCAAACCCTGAATCCAAACAACAAAACTCAACGCACCACTGGTGGATTTTCAGGAAAAGCCAAGCTCAGAGCTAGGTGGGTTAGACTAGCAGCAGCTGAATAAAAGTAAACTGCACAATCTCAAATGCCTGGAATGATGCCAGTTCTTCAGCTCCGCAAGGAGAACTAAATTTGGATGCAACATAGGAGGTTCTGAGAGATCAGGTTGCCATCTTTGTCATCCTCTCAGGGTTTAAGGAAGGGCTAGAAACGTCTCGGCTTCCTTTTTGCCTTTATAATGTCAATTGTGGTATAGAAAAGCTGAACATACAGAGGAAAAACCCCAAGCACTGGTGACTCAYTGGCATCACAGAAAGGAGTACACCAGGCAATTTCAAATTACAATGCCAACGGAGGGATGAATTATCTCCTTACCTACAAAGAAGCAATTCCATCTTTTCTGATGGAATTATACTTCTGTGGGTGAGAAGAGAAGGCAGCCTGATGTATTTATTATATCATTGCTCCTCTTACCTCTGTCCCTTTTCCTTCTTAAATCTCCTTCCCAGAGAACTCAATTAAACAGGTTTGTTTGTTATAATTGAGAATTTAAATGCACAGAAGTTAAAAAAGAGGAGGAAGTCCTAGGTGACCCAATAAATCACCTRCTTTGTACATACATATTTCTACTGAACTGCAAAGCTTAATTCAAAGCAGCATTAAGTACACATGTACCGGGGTATTCCCTCAGTTTTAGTAGTGCAGCTCATTCAGAACAAAAATCAATTTCAASTAACCTTAAAATTTACCTTAATCTCTGTGAAATTTACTGGCTCTTCCAGGCCACTAGAAATATCTCACACTCTAGGACCTCAYAGAGGATAATTAGACAGCAGATAGATGTGCACTGATGACTTCCAGCCTTGATTACTGAAGTTCATTGACTGGCTTGATCCAGAGCTCCCTGAATCAATGGCAAAACTCCTAGTATACYGAATGGGCTTGAAATCCCTCCTTTGTCTAGGAATGAAGTCAAGGACTCTGAAAAAGTCCACACCTCCAAACTGCAGGAGTTCATTTACTTARCAAAATGGACCACTGAACAGTTGTGCTGGTACCACGCCGAACACAGAGCCTGACTGGAAGGAGACTGAGAGGCCAGCTCCCCTCCAGGACTGAACCCTCCAAGGGCAGGGACAGGGAGACAAAGCAGGGGAAAAGGGGAAGGAWACAGGGCTTCAGGGATCTCCCAGGGGCTGGGTGATCGCTGACCATGAGGGCTTTGGTTTGAGCTCATCAAGGGAAGGAAAAAATGCAGTGCTCATTTCTTGGACTTAGCTTTCTGTCTATYGTTTATTCACATGTGGACATAGACATGGATGCACGTAACAACCACACAGGTGACATCAAATCCAAACGCATTCACCAAACGCTCTCTCCTAAAAAATTTGGAGCTGCATATGGATGCAGGAGAACTGGGGCCACATCAGAAGCTAAAGAAATATACAGAGGCTCCATTAGTGTGTGCAAGTCATGACTATGTCTCTGAGGAACAGTCCTAAATATTTTTCTGTTTCCTTTTTTTTTGTTTCTGGTAAGTTTTTTGTTTGTTTGTTTTTAATTTTGAAAAAAAAACAAACATACAAATGCTTTGTAATTTAAAATACAATCASGAATAGATTGGAATTTCATAGTTTCTGAGCCTCTAAGAGTTACTCAAAATAGTCCTCTTTCTTTTGCAGAGATGCATTTGGGGCTAGGGTCAGACCAGTGAAAAGATAAAAGCGGTGATAATCTCCCATGCTTAGCCCACAACCCAATCTCCACCCAATCGATACACCAAAATGAGACCCACTCACAGTAAGATTGTGCATATCTCCATAATATGATCTTTCCTCTTCTCTCTTGTGTGATCAGTAGTGAAATATTCAGCAGTTTTCACATTTAAATTATCATCAGGCTTCAGAGTCAACATCCCATTGAGATTACTGGGGCGGTTCATACTTCTCTCAGAGCTACTGTTTAAGGCTGTCTGCAGACTCAGGCAGACATCAGTGAATGGGTTACTTCTGGCACGCGACCGAAATTGTTATCTTCGCAACCATTAGACAATTTTTTTCAGTATAAATGCTTGCATTCTGGAGCACAAGATGGCAGCCACCAGGAAAAAGGGTTGGCTTGCTGACCACAAACTGGCCCAATCTGACCCCCGATTCTGGACTAGTGGCCTGGAAGAGCCAATGGATTTCATGGAAGCTAAAATGAATTTTAAGAGAGTTAGTTAAGATGTATTTCTTTGCTGAATGACCCCCACATCCAGGATAATGGGGACATTCAGCACATAYGTCCACGTTAAACTCAGTTTTGAGCCAAGCTTTTCAATTTAGCGTTGAGATGAAATTTTAGATGCTAAGCTAATGACCATWTGACAAAGATCAAGGAGGCCAAATTATACCATTTGTGGAAAGTATACACTGGAATTTCTCAGCATTTGAAAATTGAAATAGAAAATTTTATACTTGTATAAAATATCTGTGTTGGAGTTTTTTTTCTTTTCCTTTGTTATTAATTTTCATGTTTTGCACCAGATAAAGTATAAAGTTTTGAAAGTTTGAGTAAAGAACAATCAAGTAAATTTTAGGGTTTTAAAATAATTTACCAGGTGAAACTATATGGTTTCCATTCCTGAGAAACCCAATTTAAAGACTAGAGATTCCTTTTTTTTTTTCCTTTTAATAATGGTCCGGTCCAGATCTTGAACAAAAAAAGAAAAAAAAAA